TATAGATACATATATATATATATATATACCTACAACGAACTCATTGCTCCCCCTGGGACAACAACTTAATGTCGGATTGCGATATTGTACCTTGGAGGTTTCCCGCCATTCTTACACATCGCAAGATATTTTCTGCTTCATGTATCGACTCTATCCCGCGTGTTTCCTACTCTCTACCCATATTGTCGATTTGTCCTAGTGAAGCCTACAACCTGAAACCTACACCCAAAACCCAAAACCCAAAATGAACCATAAACCCAAACCCCGAACACTCAATCTAAACCCTAAAACTCAAACCTAAACCCTAAACACTAAACCCTTATACAGAGAGAGGCTCACGAATCCTTCATGGCGTCGCTGTCGAGTGATCTCACGGCCCTTGCCCAAGCCATTGTGGCAGATCAGAAAGAGAACAGCAACTCCATGGCACTCAGGCGCAAGCAACTCGACCGCGCCAAGCACTCGCTACAGGCCAAGTGTGGTGATATTGGCGCGAGTGTGGATGCCATCCGTAGTGTATGTGTCATAGGGGTTTTTGCACGTATATATACTTCTATAACTACTTCATTGTTTTACACGGATCAATAATAGACTCTGCAAGACATGAACAGGGACTAAGTCAAGATATTTACACTATACACTTCACTTTGCACTCATCAATAACAGACTCTGCAGGACATGACCGAAGACGTGGTCAAGCGTAAGATTAAACCATCCGAGATGGAACTCAACGAGCTGCGTTGCGGCGTGAACTTGTTGGAGGGCAATGTCAATGCGCTCGGCAAAACATACGACGACTCGCGCGGCGGCTTCAAACAGCTGTGGAAGGAGGAGCTACAACTGATTGTCGATGATGAGAACCTCATGGACGATATTGAGGGCAAGGTGTGTTTGTGGGTGATATGCATGTGGACGTATTTCACTATATTTTATCTGTGAAGCAAGAAGCTGCAGCTGATAGCCCATAATGACAACCTCATGGACGACATTGAGGGCAAGGTTTGTTTGTAGGTGATATGTATGTGGATGTATTTGACTATAATTTATCTTGAATCGAGAAGCTGCAGCTGATAGCCCATAATGACAACCACGTGGACGATATTGAGGGCAAGGTGTGTTAATGAGCTTGTTGGATGTCTGTTGGTCGTTGAGATGATCGTATCTGTGACTGTGGATGTATACAAATCTGATTCTGCTGTGGGACGAACGTTGCGCGGGTTGTATAGATGAACCCCCGTGGATCTTACTTGGTGGGGTATCTCCATGCGTTTGCGAGGAATGTATCTCTTCGTGTTTACATATTTGTGTTTGTTTCGCCTGTAGAAAGAAACTGCTGTAGCTGCTTGTCGAGAACGAGAATCGCACGGATGGGAATGACAATGGGAATGGGGGGAAAGTACGTTGAGTGTTTCTTTCTCTTGGGAATAGATCTTTGTACGTATACAGATGGCCGCATGTCTATATGAGACTAAAACTGTACATGCGCTCGTACCCTTGTTTGGGTGTGTGTACTGTGGCTAATCAGTAGAATGCTATCGTGGTCCTCTGAATATGATTTGAAGTACTTGGTAGAACTCATTTCATGGAGCTTCATTGAATGTCGCATTTAGTGTCATCTGATATACTTTACCGATGCTCGCCATCTGCTGCTGCGGGCCTGGGATAGATGTTTTGTTTATGAAACGCCAACCTTGGAGCATGAATTCACATTCAGATTCTGGAAGGTCGTAGGCGGTTAGAATAATTTGAATACTACCAAATACCTACTTAACAGGTGGAAGACATCGAAAACGACTTTGACGAGCTTGCACGTCAAAGTGACGCTATGGATCAGCTACTGGTTCTCAGAGCGACCATGCCCATAGCGGCACCTGCACTCCCCATAGGTAATGTGATGCATGTAGTCTGCCACCTCTATATCTATACAGAGTAACGGCTATGGTACTTTTACCTGTGTATGTTAATACGGTCATGAGCATATAAATCTATATATTTATATATGTATGTATTTCGTTTATGCATTTATTTCTGTGTTTATTCGTCTATAGAATAGAATACCAAAGTGATGAATACGATCAAGAATGTACACCTATGGGACTTCCCGTTGTGTCCTGCTACATATCGTGGTTCTGGTTGGAAACAGTTCCTACTTTGGGTTGATTTTCGTATCTGACGAAAATGAGTTCCTCGGTATTACGTGAAAGGCTGGTTGTTGATGAAATCTTTGGGAGTGTCGCACATAATCAGGCTAGCCCGTTCCGTTGCATTGTACGTATTTCAAATGCACACTCGATTTCGGTGCGTTTTGAACAATACTGTATATTGCCTGTACCGCAACAAGACATCGTATACTACGTGTGTCGACATTTGCAATTGTCACAAGGCTAATCATGATTTTGGTAGCTCACCTGCCTAAACTCTTACAAACACTGTGTACAATTTTCAAAGAAGTACTGGTTTGAACCAATGTCTATTTGAATATGTCTCTATACACAGGTGCTGTGGATGAGGACGAGGCCGAAGAAGTAATGGACAGCGTGCTGGACGAAATCATGTACATCCAGGTGGATCACAATGACCGCATGCGCAAGGTGCAGGAGATGGAGGCCAAAATGATGAAGAAAAAGGTAAATAAGGGGAGCGGGGGTGAGGGGTATCTCAGGATAGATCAGTTTCTACTGAAAGTCAAATATCTACTAGCAAGTCATTTTGAACCTGTGAGGAATTTGGCGTGTAAATATAGTATGTGGCGAGATGTCAAATTTAGTCCATGTGACCCGTGAGATTATACCATGCTCATCATTCGTAGCAATTTCAGACTCTCAAGCATAAGTATTTTTGAAATTATCCGTGGTTAAAGGACAATATACTGACAATAAGTACACGCCTAAATTAATTTTATCGGATTCCACGACCGTTCAAACAGATTCAAGAACAGAATGCTAGTCCGCTGGCGGTATTTACCATGGATCTATCGAAGCAGAAGCACGTGCTCAAAAAAACTGGTGGAGTCGAAGAACTCGAACGCCAGCGAAAACTCAAGGCAAAGACCGCAGGCTTAGGTTTCGGTTCTGTCATTGAGGATGGGGGCTGCTAAGCAAACGGTGTGGCAAGCTAGCTGTAGACCGAATTATATCTTGCTCCCTGTCTAAACGAGGACAGATAACATACTGTGCCGCCCATATATAGACAACGTGTTGTTCTAACAATAGAACCATGTGCTGCAACGCCAACGCCTACCTGTCTTGTAGACAGACATAGCCTTCGAACTGATCAAACGTTCGAGGCAAATTTTGGTAACCAACGCGACAATTAACACATCCAACTCGTCAAAAAAATAAATTTATGGACGGTTCTTCATCAAAAAACTACTACATATCTTAAAGCAACATATCCAACAGACCGATATCGACTAGGCTGTTCAATTGAATCGAACCTGTAATAAAGTTTATGCTGGATACTGCATCCGACAAGGAAACTCCGATGTATACGATTACGATATGTCTTTGAAGTTTCTTGATAGATTCGGATAAGAAACTGCCATGTGCTTTTGAGGTGCCTCCTTTCTGATACGCTGTGTGAACGAAAAGTTGTTTGTTTGTGACTACATTGCTCCTGCAGTACTGCGCAGTTATTCAGCGCTCTTCTGTCCGAGTCACAATCACTCAACTTCCCGTGTTTCTCTACAGATACTGCGTGGATCTATTAGGTATGCCAGTTTGGACAGACATGCTTCGTCAACAAACTGCTCACTGCTGTCTTGATAACAGCAGATCTACCAGTCTCTTTAATAGATCCTATTTTAAAATATAATAATTGGTGTTGAATACTGCACACGGACAGAAAACTCAAATGTATATTCACAATTTCAACGTCATTTTGGTATTTCTTGATAGTGCACCATACCGATTCAAACTGGCATGTGCTCTTGAGGTGCCTCCTACTTACGCTTTATGGACGAAAATTCGATGGTTTGTGGTCATTTTGCCCTTGTAGTTCTGCGTTGTTAGCCAGTGCAATAGGCCGTTCTCGACCAAACGCTCTTCTGTCCAGTCGTAATCGCCCTCGTGTTTCTTTACCGAGACTGCGTGCATCCAAAGCCTGCCAGTTGCAGCATCCCACTTTGGATGCTTTCTGCAGTATACTGAGAAGGTATCATCGTGGTAATCGGTCCAACCGAGGAACTCGTTATCCATGCCGAGCTCCATGCCGAGCTCCATATTATTGATCATATTCACAAACGAAGTGTATTGTACCTCTGTGATAGTTACTTTGTTTTCTCTTTCGCACGCGACTTGAAGCTCTAGGTCAGTAGTCAGTGTACACAAAGTCTTGCGCTTTAAGTAGTCTACACCACCATCTTTCAAAAGTGGTTCAACTCCTTCAGAATTGCTTTTGTCCAATACCCATCGACCCTTGAAGCAGTCTTTATTGCTGATATCTTGCGGCATGGTTGTATTAGGTGTATGTTCGTGTTTGTACTGCCTTTGTATCCGAAACGTTGATTTTGTTAGATTTCGCCGATCTGCATCTGTATTTATATGCATGAGAATGTCAGGTGACATCTGGGCAAATTACAAACAGGCAATGTCGAAAGATCGAGGATGTTGCGTACATTACATATCAAGACAAAATAATAAACACAAGAGAGAAATACAGCTGTTTTGGTTGTAATCATCATGCCAGCATATCCGCTGTCTAGTATACAATGTTTCCAATGTCCACTGAGCAATTGTTTTTTTGAAACAAATTAATACACAGCTCCCTTGAAATAGTCGAGCAAACTTGGAGCCACAGTCAGTGCGTCACTCACAGATTCACTCATGTCACACACACTCACACAGGGACTCGCAATATTTTTGAAGTGTGATTGACTGATTGGTTGCTCGTTTCCTAGGAGAACATTTTTTAATTTTTTGAACATCATTTCTGAGTTCAGAAACTTCGGAGCTCGGAAGGATGTACTCAAGTTACTCACAACTCTCGTAAACGCCATATGAAGTAAGATACTCCTTCAATCCTTGATATACTACTTCTCAAGTTCTCAGGCTTCTCCCGACATCCGAGGGCGAGATGTTAGATGTATTACTATTCACTATGTCTATTCAGTATTCACTGATTGTGATTCAACTCTATCAACAATGTATTATTCTGTAAAGAAGCAGCAATTGTCACTCCTCATAATCCAACGTGAATTCCACTCACACAAGTCAATCAGGCTTCCTTTCACAATGAGTTTTCAGAATCATATAAATACCAGCACATAAATAGTTTGGAAATTAAAAAAACAACTCACAAGCACAGTAAAAGAAGAACAATACACATTTGCGACAATGCCTCAAGATATCAGCAAACTAATGGATAGTTGGATACTGTACAGGCAGGCATGATCGTGGCAATCAAAACAGCCGTGCTTTCTCTCTATATTCTGTTGTTATGAAATGTACGCAACATCCTCGATCATTTAACACTGGCTTTTTGTACTCTGCCCAGACGTTACCTGACGTTTTCATGCAAAAAAAAAAATGCAGATCAGCGAAATCGAACAAGATCAACATTTCGGATACAAAAGTAGTACTAACACAATCATACACTTACTACAACCATGCCGCAAGATATCAGCAATCTAGACTGCTTCAAGGATCGATGGGTATTGGACAAAAGCAATTCTAAAGGAGTTGAACCACTTTTGAAAGATGGTGGTGTAAACTACTTAAAGCGTAAGACTTTGTGTGCACTGACTATTGACCTAGAGCTTCAAGTCGCGTGCGAAGGAGAGGACAAAGTAACTGTCACAGAGGTACAATACACTTCGTTTGTGAATATGATCAATAAGATGGAGCTCGGCATGAATAATGAGTTTCTTGGTTGGACGGATTATCATGATGATGCATTCTCAGTATACTGCAAGAAACAAGCAAAGTGGGATTTGGCAACTGGCACGCTTTGGATGCACGCAATATCTGTGAAGAAACACGAAGGTGATTATGACTGGACAGAAGAGCGTTGGGTCGAGAACGGTCAATTGCACGGGCTAACAACGCAGAACTACAAGGGCAAAATTACCACAAACCATCGAATTTTCGTTCAAAAAGCGTAAGTAGGAAAACATTTATACAATAAAGACAATGAAAGGCAATCCGCCACGGTATATCACCTATTCCTATCTGCACCGTTAATCTGGTTCGCGTAGAACCAATAAAAGGAATGAGCGGCTAGAAAAGTTTTAATTTGCGGTGCAACAAGCAGATCGAAGACGATTACATATTGATATCCCATATCTGGCATATCTACGATTGATGAGGAGTAGGAAATACTTATAAAAATAATTTTGCTTGCAGGACTATAAGAACTTTCTACTTCTCCATTGGCTATGGGATAAATACACAATAAATTCATATACGTTGTCAGCACAAAACAATCACTACGAAATTTTACACTGTGACAATGAGTACACCATGCTGACTTTATCGTGTGTATTTGGCGATGAAAAAAAATAGTACAGCGCTGCAAGCAACTACCTCATCGATACGCTTTCACTGTCGCTTCGCATCGCGCACCTTGAAATTCAATATCTGAATAGCTGTTGTGGCGTAGCAATAAATGTGGATTCATGACCTGACTACACATGCCACAGTTTAAAACAACTCGCTGAATGCTGCATGACATGCAAACAACACTGTCGCCAAAAGGGCCAACAGCCGGGAGACACATTGCACATATCAGTCCCGCTGCCACAAACCCTCACATTCCAACTCAATGCAGTAGTCTTCTAATCAAGAGAAGTTCAAAACACAACCACGAAGATAGGGGTATCTAGAGTGACCAGTCTAAGTCTATGCAATGCCATGAGGACGAAACGATCGCCGCCTACCCTAGCAGTGTACTACTGTATAGACAGAGAGCTTGACGGAGACGTGTGTCTCTTGACAATAGTGTTTCACTAGCGTGCTGCCGAGCTTTATTTACAGACTCGCAGCCGCAGCCGCAGCCGCAGCCGCAGCCGGACAATGGGTAGCCACCGCCTCGGCCAACCCTGTACACGCCATGACAAGGTCAGGCACGGCTTTCAACTGCCGCTCACTTCTCCTCCCCACCGCCGATGTGATTGTGTGCAACGCCCCGGTCTCTAGTACCGCAGCGGTTACTTGTGCTGAGGGCAGCACGCGCACACACCCTGCTAACGCCTGCATGCACAGGAACCAAGGTTCTCTGATCCCCTCGTAGTCGTAACCCGCCGGTACAAGTACCTTGCCAACATTGCCCAGCGGAAGTTCAACATCCTTTGGTTCAACGGTAGTACCAGTTTGCGAGCGTTGGGACGGTGCTGGCTGAGCATTTGATATGCAATCTCGCAAGAGAGTTTCGCACGTGGCGGAAACAAACTGAAGCATATCCACTACACCTGCTTGGAATCCGGGAGTGGCAGATATGCCCCTGTTGCGCTCGGATACCGTGTGCTGCACTATAAAGGCCAACAGTGCACACGAGCACACGCGGAGAAATAGTTCTGCGGAGGACAGGGCACGGATTTGATTGGCATGAGTGGGTTGCAGAGTATGCGGGATTTCGATAAGCATTTGAGACTACAAAGTTCTTTGCAGGACCACCTGAAACACAGTCTGTGCGGGCGCAGACCGTGCATACCACACAAACTGTTTTATAGCCGTAAATATAGTGTGGCTTCTTCAAAGACCGTTTCATGACAGCCCACGTGCGTTTGACATGCCAACACGAAGGACTTTAGTGATACTGCCAGTTTGGAATTCACAATAATGCTATAGGGATACTGCACGACACTCAGCATAGGCATACAAGAATCAAATCATGCATACGTGCGATTGGCTTCAAGAAACTCAGATGTTATGCTCCTTACTTGTGGTCCGGATGTATTGAACACGAAGCAATACGATGCAGCCGGTGAGGCTTCCAACAAACCTGAATTACTACATTCACAAAACACCCCGCAAACACGGGCGGTATTTCCTGCAGAGGACCCCACCCATGAAAGATGAGATGTACCACACACCCGATATGGGCGAGGGAATAAATAGGCCACAGTCCGGATAAAGTATACAAAACAAACCTCGAGACAGCCAACTTCTACCTACCTTCTGGAGGCGACTCAATAAGGCCCCGAGCCAAGTCAGTGTATACTGGCCGGAAGCACTGTACCGCGCCATCTAGCACCGCCACGTTCAGCATCACATTGACGGAGTTCTCCAGGAAGGAGAGCGAAGCTATGTCACCAAAGCCACGCAACACTCCATTTCCACATCCATCCGCACTCACGTGCTCAAGGCTGTGCGACGAGGCAGCACGAGCTGCACCCTTTGTTTGTATTGTCTCGTCAGTCGTATTTGTCGTTTCTTTAGTCGCACTTGTCGTCGTACTTGTCCGTTCTTCAGTCGTAGTTGTCCTTTCTTTAGTCGTATTTGTCGTTTCAGCCGGGGAGTGTGTCGTATCCGCCCCGTCACCTATCCTTGTGTGACCGCGCACTATATCCCGGCCGACTGTCTGGGCCGTAGTACCACTCTGTACCCCATCGGCACCTTCATGTGAACTCCCTTGATAGTCCACACACGTCTTCCGGGCCTGTAGTACCCTCAGCAACCCCTTCCCCACCACCTCCAACCCCTCTGCCGCAATAAACGCCCGTTGCCCACCCCCGTCCGTATCGCACGAGACATTCAACAGCATAGGCAGTAACATCCCGAGGGCCACCCACTCGCCACCATCCACTGAGCCGTCTGGCGCACGCATTGCGCTGGCCCCATCCGCAACTGTATCTGCACCTGTGCGCGTTCGCGCCTGAGAGCCCACTCCCGTTCTACTACTTGCGGATTGGTCTTGCTTGGCGTCGGTCGCGGAGTGCTGTTCGGTACTCCTGGTAGTAGCAGGTCCAGTGCTACCGCCGTGGCGGCACAGAGACATGAGTGCAGGCATGGTGCTTTGTAGCTTCGTCTGCAGATCATCAGTCTCCTCCGCAAAGTATGCCCCCACCACCCGCACACACGCCAGCTGCAGCGCCTCTGTGTAACCATCACTCGCGGGTATACCTACACCATCGACCGGCACACTCTCTTCAGTCCCCGTCTCCTGGCACGCATCTTTGGTGATAACGGGACAAACCGGTTCGCCCGCGCCCATATCGATGACCTTACTCGTCCTGTCAGTGATGTGTGTAAGGTCGTTTACTGCAGTGCCGTTGTCTCCTGCATCGTGCACAGCGCTGTTCGCATCCCCGACTCTCTCGTCCTCGGCAGCACATACCTTCTCCACACGTGGTTGCAGTCGGCTTGGCCTCAATCGCAGCACCTCTCCGTCCTGTCCCGAACTCGTAGCACGCTTTGCTTTAACCGACGAGCTACTATCTGTGTATGTCTTGAGTCTGTTCTGAAGGTGCTCATAGACATCTGACAGAAACTGCAGCACACTCTCCACGCACTCGGTAATGGGACCCCGCGCTTTGGCCGCAAACACCAGCAGCCAATCAAATCCAGAATCATCGGGGTGGTTGGTCACCATGGTAACGATGCTCGTTTCTAGCAACTCAAAGCACACGGACAGGAGTGCGAGGCGCGTATTCTGTTGTTCCAAAAGTGTGTGATATATCTTTGACTTCACATCCTTAGCGCGTACGTGATCGTACAGCTTCACATCGGCCTCGCCGAAGGCGTCCAGTGCAAGACGGGCCTCAGCGCATGCCAGGTGAGTAGCCAGAGTCAGCAGGAATATCTGCCGTAAAAGTGATATAGATGCAGGTGATAATTAGTATACATCTGTATGAATATATATATATATATATATATCATCGGCATAAAAAGCACAAGCCACCTATACATAATTATCATCTTTTGCGCTTGCGTACACGAATGAATCACCTTTATAACCATCACTCTCAGAACTTGTACGCACGCATATACGATCGACTACCGTACCTTTCGCTCTCCGCTGTCCAAGTGGGGAGTGTTGGCGCTATACGCTTCGGACAACTGCACCTTGGCCCTCGGCAGTACCACACCCGCCGCACTCGTCACCCCAGCCCGCCCCACACTCTCCTTGTCCTGTCCTTTATCCCCAGTTTGTACCGGTACCGATACTTCATCGTTTGGGTCAGTGAATATCCACTGCACCCCCCCACTCCAGCGCATCATGACCGCTGCGAGTCCCAGCGCGTGCTTGCGGTTGGCCGCGTCCAGTTTATTTGTGAGAAGACTTCGCAAACCACAGCGAATGTGCCGTACAGTGACGCTCTGCGCGACGTCTCCGTCGCCAATGAGCACGTGGCAATCTACGGCGTAACATCAAAGCAGACCACCGAACGTTTTGGGTGAGATGTAATCTATAGCTTAAGACAGATGCAAAACACGGAACGTTTTGGGTGAGATGTAATCTATAGCTTAAGACAGATGCAAAACACGGAACGTTTTACGATAAATGCAACAGCCCAAGATAGATACAAAACACGGAACGTTTTACGTGAAATGCAATCTACAGCCATCGACAGATGCAGAACACGGAACGTTTTACGTGAGATGTAATCTGCCGTGTAAGATAGATACAGAGCACGGAAGGCTTTACGTTAGATGTAATCTATTTTTTAAGATAAATGCAGAACACGGAACGTTTTACGTGCTATGTAATCTACAACGTAAGGTAAATGCAGACCACAAAAAGTTTTACGTGAGATGTAGAGACTTTGGAGTCGAATTGCTAGACCAAACAAGTGGAAAGCAGTGCGCTCGGGTGGCTTGGGTGATCCTTGGTGATGGTTGTGCCGGATGCTATACTACTAATGCAACTGGGCAGTTGAAGTCTCAGTGGATTTATACAGCTAGCAACCAGTTAACGATGCCTACTGTAGACACACTTTGATACGCTGTACCTCCCAACAAAACAAAGGCAACAGGCCGATAGACACATACCAGTGAATGCAGACAGCATACGTTCCAAGATTCGACATAGACGAAACTTATAGGCGTCTTGTCTAGTGTGAAACTGCTCGGCCAGTTTTGGCACAAAACTGTCGCGGATATACACTCTCTCTGACGCAGGCACGCTCGTGAACAGATTGATTTCGCATGCACACAGACGATCTAGAATGTCGGCGACGCACGGTGTGGTGATGTCCTGTGCCGCTAGCACCTGTAATGTGTATAGAGATGAAACCAAGGATACTATTTTCGTGAACAAGGGTTTTACTGGGATTAACAGTCAATTACAAGGTATGACAAGACCCTTTAAAGGACTTGCTATGCCGTACAGAAAGTATACGCCATCAAGAATATTTTCTGTCCTCTATGAAGGTGCAGATATATATAAATACATGCGTGTCTATGTACAAATTTTTATGTGTATTTATATATGTATATACATATACATATATATGTATATATATTTTAATTCTACATCAATATTTAAAAGTCAATAAACCATAGTATATACATACAAATACATGAAATTTTATATATATCGAATACTGGTAACAGATTAACATGCGATGGTGCGGCAGAGGTCGTACCAAACAAGTAGCCGGAGTTTAAAGGAATTTTATATGAGTCAGGCGCAATGAACCAAATTTGATCGATCACATAACTAAGCCACAAATAATTGGGGTTTGTTTCCACTTCACGTTAAACAAGGAAACTCATCTTCAACTACACACGCACGTGGTATTCTCCGCTGCATATTCTGGTAGATTTACTCTCAGGTCCATATACACGCTGGAGGCTTACAGTATTCCCACTTACCATAATCGACCGGAGCAAAGGAGACCCGTATTGCTGCACCAGGAGCGAAGCGCCTGCACTAGTAGTTACCACTCCAAGGATGCACTCAAGCGTATCGTCCTGCATCCTGCCTGCCATGCTGATGACAAGAGAGGATCGCACATGTGTGTCGGTAGGTATTCATAGCTCTCACATACACGAAAGTCGTATATGTGTCTATGCATACAAGGAGTGGTAGACTATGCTACAAGCATGCCCATGCAATGTCTGTCGGGCTACGTGAATGTGACCTGTGTATGGAAGTGTAGCATATGATCTTTGATCACATGGAACGTTTTCGCATGTGATGCGAACTCGACAAGCGGAGACTCTGTACAGCCTCTTCACCCCCACACGTACCACGCCCACACAAGCTACACACCCTGGACGTGACACATCTCACAATGAGTGTACACACGTTCTCATAGAGCGTGTATCACTCGTACACATAGAACTGTCTACTAGCTAATGGCAACGAAAACGACGAGTGGAGTATATGATCTGTTCCGAGACATGCGGCAAGTTGTGAGACGCCAAATCACACATACACGCCTCGCAAACGCATACTACACAGATGATACAAGGCCTATGCAAGCAAAGACAAATCACAGAAAAGTGATGCAAATACGCATCGAACAAGTGCATGGGAATGCACAGCTACCAAATAGACACGTGGCACTGTGATTAAAAATACTCGAGTGTGAACGATTGAATGATAAGACATACTTTGCATCTACGTCGTCCAAGTCTTCGTCGCTGTGTGGCAGTAGACCGAGCAAGAGAGGCAAAGCTTCAAGCATAGGCGCACTGTTAGCCAGTGCTGCTACTCGACTATATATAGACAGAATACTTAGAGCCATCCCCGTATAACCTGCAACAATGAGTGGCAAGGACGATAACAATAATCTGTATTGAGATATATCAATCGATAGATTAATGTAAATGTATTACATGCACATACTTACGCAGACATATATTTATATATATATATATATATATAAATATATATACATATATATACATATATATATATATATATATATATATAAATATATATATCTGTGTATGTGTGTGTGTGTGTGTGTGTTTGTGTGGTGCGCGTGTGTATGTTTGTGTATGTATGTGTGTATTTGTGTGTTTGTGTGTGTATTTGTGTGTGTGTGTATGTGTGTGTGATGTAGATATATATACACATATACATATGTATATATATACATACATGTGTGTGTGTGGGTATTTGTGCGTGTGTGTGTGTGTAGTGATGCGCGTGTGTGTGTTTGTGTATGTGTGTGTGTATTTGTGGTTTGTGTATGTGTGTGTGTGCGTGTGACATTGATATATATTCACATATACATATGTAAATATATATATATATATGTGTGTGTGTGTGTGTATTTGTGCGTGTGCGCGTGAGTGCGTATGTATGCGTGTGTGCGAATGTGTGTGTGTTGTGCGTGTGTGTAAATATATGTATTT